GATATTAGACGGTTGCAAAAAGATATGGATTTTATGTTCGAGTGGCAAAAACAATATCTCACGAGTGAGCGGAGCGACCGAGTGAGATATTAGAGAGGTTAAGATACCCCGATTTCGGTTTACGGGTACGGGTGATATACACAGGGCTTTCCTCTGGGGGCGCGCGATCGCGCCAGCGCGCGCCCGCACGCGCCCACGTGAATCTGGGCGCGCGATTTATCGCGCACGCAAATTTGATTTTTAAGGATAATCGCGCGTTACAATTTTGACACGCGGTGAATTAAGATATCATGTAACAAAACCAAATTTCATTTGACAGTTTAGAACTTTACATTATTATTTAACAGAGAGTGCAATATTATCGGTATTCTTCCAAAGTTAGGGTGTTTATAATTGAAGATGGCCACCAAAGTTTTTAAGGTCGATCTGGCAACTTTTATGAAGTGGGGGAAAATGGTGTTATTGGCTAGAAGACGATCAACGATGGACAACGCGTGTGTTAATTTTGTTTAGTGCAAAGTTTGTCAACGCAATGAAAATGCTTTATTTCAGCATCCAAACTGCAAAGGGCCTATTAAGAAGTCAGTCAAATCGTATATTGAAGGAACAAGCTTTGTGCAAAGGCCATCGCAATAGAAAGCACGCGGCCTGCGAGTGAAAGTAAAACTTTTTGATAAAAGTTATAAATAGATCTGACATTTGTTTTTTTATTGTTATTAGTGACGATTGACATTATACTTTCTTCAAGAATACAAATTTAGCGGTTCACACCTTCCAATTTACATAGCAAAACATGCTCAGGGTTTTTTTTTAATGGAAGAGCTCTAATGCTACTGTATAGCCGTTTAATTCTTTTGCAAACTCTGAAGTGAACCTGAATTTTGCCGCGTGCTTTCATTTGATTCTGATTTTATAACTTTACTTATAGTTATTCATAAGTGAAATTCTATTAAGTAAGTTTAAATTAAGTACAAACAAGAGGTACAATAACTAAGCTTGATCATATGTATCCTTCCAGAAACATTGAAATCATGTATAAATTTTATCACGAGCATTTGTGCTTCTTATGTTGTAACGTTCTCAAAAGTTGAGTTATACACATGACGCTTTATTAAGTCAATATTTGCATGCTAATATATGTGTAAAACTGCATTGACATGTCCTTCTTGATGTGTTATTGTTTTGTCTAGGTCAATGGGTGTGTATAAAATAAACGTCTAATAATCGCGCGCGCAGTTTGATTTGCCCGCGCGATTGTCCGCGCGCGCAATTTTCTGAGTTGGAAAGCCCTGTACGTACCCGTACCCGTAAATCGGGAAATAACTTGTAACTTAAGAAATTCAAATACTCCGGCGTGAGAAAACCGATCAGAGAATGGCAACTTTCGCTGTTGAGGTTCTCCATAAATTGTTGAAAACTTTGACCAGCATATGTGCATTATTTATTTCGGTAAGATGTTTGAACATTTGTACTATTTAAACGGCCCAAAAATAGTAAACAGAAAACACCCGTACCCGTTTGTCGTTTACGTGTAGACCACGGTTTACCACGGGGAAACGGGTAGAAATTACGGGTAAAATTGCTGACATCAGCAGAAATTGGTAAACAAAATGGCGATACTCGTACCCGTAAACCGGAACCGGGGTATCTTAACCTCTCTATTGTTTTTGACACGAGAACATAAGTCCATATCTTCTCGCAACCGTTTAATGTTCTGTTTATTATATGGACTTAATCAGAGTGACAAAATTACACACAAAGACGACATGTAAATAAGCACGCGAAACACCAGTATAAAAGCTATATTTTTTAAAATTATAGTGCAAACATAAAACTAGAATAAATTTTACTTATCTCAAGATGTCTTTTAAATGTTTTCGTTTTATTTCCAACGTTAATTTCGTTTTAAATACGAACCAAAGACCATTTGTATTTTCAAAACAACAACAATGAAATTGGCGGGAAATTGACGAACTTCGTATGTCACTAGCAGGGATGAAATACGGAAAATACGCGCACCTGGCCCGGATATAGTGACGTATGAGTTCTACGAGTGTTTTAGTTTCCAGTAAAACACCATTGTCCATATAATAAATATATATATATATATATATATATATATATATATATATATATATATATATATATATATATATATATATATAAATTATTAATAATTCACGAGGAAAGGCCCCCCACCAGGAAAATACAAAAGAAATGAATGTTTAATCAATGTTTGTAAATCGGATAAAGATTTGTCCTGATTTACATAAATTTCAGCTTTGATTTTCTCGGCTTAGACAATGTTTATTTTTAAAATTACTTCGCCAATGAATTCATAAGATGGGCCATTTTTTAAGCACGATAAAACATTCGCATCCGATCTGTATCTGATATAGAAACTCTCGCCTTCGGCTCGAGTTTGTATATCAGATACAGGTCGGCTGCCCATATTTTATCTAGTACATATATATTATTACATACAATTGCAGTAGGCCTAAGTTCGCCCAATACTTTACATGAGATAATATAGTGCTATTTAATATTTACAAACTTGGGCTATAGGAGCCTAGTAGAAACCATTTGGCTTTTATTTTAGGACCCTATAGAATATGAACTAAATTAAAAATAATTAATAATTAATATATGTCAGTTCGAAATTTTTTTTAAATATTCCTTCACGGCTAATAGTTAGTTTTCGACATACTAGAAATTATGTTACATGTAAAGCGCGCATGCAAATGATGGTGCCATACTATCCTAAAATTTTTTGCTAAAACTAAATGTCCTTTGATGGATAGCGCGTGTTTTGTGATGAAATTTGAAACCAGTAAAAATTGACCACTCGATACTCTCGACACTTAAGCCGTGTTTACACTACGAGCCTAAGCCTGGCCTAGGCCTAGCTTTGGACTACATTTTTGTGGTGTAAACGCACTTCGGCCTGGCCTAGGTCAGGAAATCTGGGCCAGCAGAACAGGTGTTCCACATTTCCTAACCTAGGCCAGGCCCAAAGTGCGTTTACACTACAAAAATCTGGTCCAAAGCTAGGCCTAGGCCAGGCTTAGGCTCGTTGTGTAAACACGGCTTAAATTGCGTCTTCGCCATTTTAAATCTTTGCCAAGCATCTGAAGCCACGAAGAGTTAGCTTTTCCAGTATACTAACATCTTCATTCACATTACAACTTATTTTCGGGAAAGTTACGTTGCCAGAGCAACATGTATTATCAATGGATAACAATAGACAATGAATACAAGCGGCAGGCAGTGTCGTATAGTGTGGGACATTTGCAAAGCTTTTGTCAATCGAGAACGCTATAATGCAAAATAATATAACGATACTAATATATTTAAAGGGTTAAACTTCACTTGTACAAATATCTGTCCAATTCGTCTTAATTGATAGATATTTGAATACCAACATATGCATGCATTATTAAATATCTCGGTTTTAGAATGCGGTCTGTTTTACAAAGTATAACATCTCACCTTTTGAATGAACGCGCTGTGCCCTTTTTGAATGCTTTTGTATAGTAATTGTCTGTAACAGAATTGCGACACGCGAATGTTTCCAATCTCGAAATATATAAAATTGCGCAAGTACTGATTACGGAAGTGATACGTTTCATGCATCTATGACGTAAATGACGCAGGCCTCTTAAAGAATGAGTCTCAGGGTAATGCTTTGCGCGCTTTTTGTTTATGTTTACATACGGGAAATTTCCGTGTCACGTGCACATTCCCTTTACAATTTGCATAATATTGCGTCTTTTGCGTTAATATTTCACAAATTTTGGTCCTTTCAAAGAACATTTTAGTATTTTTTT